GGGGGGGGGGGGGGGGGGGGGGGGGGGGGGGGGCAGAGCAGACCACTGGAACATTTGGGTGTCCGTCCTCCAGGTGCACTCTCATTGCCGTTGCTTTGCTTGTACGATAATGCACTTGGGCGCGTTCTTTGAATGCGCATAAGAAGTGTTCGAGGCTGCGCGTACGTTGTGTTTTCGCGTGCATCGCGAGCACTGCAGATGGGCTGTTGCTTCAGAGCTGGACGACAGGACCGGCAAGATTCATTCGAAATTGGCGTCGCGAAGCTGGTGCAGGTGTGCGAGGTAACATCCACCGTTGTTCACGGTACGTTTTGTTGCTCTCATCGACTTCGCAGACAATCTGCATTTTTTTCTTCTTCCCAGCTCCGTGCTTCTCTCGCGGGAAGCGCCTTTCAGCGTGTTTGCTCAGCTTCCACTCCCGGGTCCGCAACAGCTTTTGCTGCGGGCTGTCGTCCTCTTCTAGCGGAAGCAAGCCACGAACTCCGAATTGCCGAAGCGCGGCAGATAGGGTCCTGCGAGACGTGCACTCTGTTCCCCCCTACTATGCTTCGCAGCCTGCTCTGCACCGCGGTTTCTCGATCGTTTTGGGAAATAAGTTGTCCAGCGGAGGCCTCTCTGACTACGCTCATTTTCTGGGCAGCAGCTGCACACGCACTGTCTGGGCGTCTGCGTTCTTCTGTGGCCGGAGACTCGCTTACGCCTAATCCCCGTCATTTGAGCTGCGCTTCTTCCATACTTTTTTTTTTTTTTTTTAAGTTGGACGTAGTAAATTACAGCTCCACTTATTGGCCGTCTTAATAAAAAAAGCGACAGGCAAAGCGGGCTCACTTCGAAGCTGCTAACGTTTCGGTATTATTTTGTGCTAGGGCACTTGCATTCATCACGCATCTGCTGCTTGTCCAGCGTGCTTGCGACTGCGGGCCATCAGGTGTGCTTTGCGAGCTCTCGATGTAGGTCGAAGCAACGAAGCGCCTGCCGCATCTGCCCGCTTTTCGCGCGGTGTGCTGCGCGGCCGCGTCGTTGGCAGCTGAAAGCTTCGGCTGGCACTTTTGGCGTTGAGGTTTGCGAGGCGCGCAGCTTCTTGTTTCCTAATGCCAGGGTTTTGCAGGGCACCGTAACCATGGGCAGCAGCAGCCGCGGGGAGTACGGCTGCTCCGTGGACGAGCTGCGCACTCTGATGGAATATCGTGGAGCGGAGGCCCGAGAGAAGCTAGACATCGAGTATGACGGAGTGGAAGGCCTGTGTAGGAGGCTGAAGACAGACTCCAGCAACGGGCTGCCTCAGGACAAGGACGAGCTGGACAGGAGGCGAGCTGTATTTGGTGCCAACGAAATTCCGCCGCATCCGCCGAAATCGTTCCTGCAGCTGGTTTGGGAGGCGCTTCAGGTGCGTTTGCCTGTTTATGAAGCAGTGCGGTGCGCAGAGTTGCCGCTGTAAAAATAAATGTGCTTGTGCTTGCAGGATGTGACCTTAATTATTCTGCTTGTCAGTGCCATTGTATCCCTTGCGTTATCATTTTATCGACCACCTGATGATGGCTTAGGAGGTTTGCTTCTTTTCACATTCCCACTTACTGCTGCCGCTGCCGCTGGCGACGGTTTGGGATTTAAATTTTCGTGCTTCTTCAGCCGGTTCCGATGACTCTGAGCACGAGGCCGGTTGGATCGAAGGAGTTGCAATCCTCATCTCAGTCGTTGTAGTCGTTCTTGTTACTGCTCTGAATGATTATACGAAAGAGCGCCAGTTTAGAGGTAATGAGCATTTTCACTCAATACAGAGTCGTTTTTCCTCTTCTCAGATAAACAACATACTTTTTATCGTTTTGCTACTGAATTCGTCTATTTATAGCGCTCTTGAAATTGATACTTTCCGCGCTGCTTTTCGCATCGTATTTTACACCGATCTTGCTCACTAGCGCCTCTTCTGGCACAAATTTTACAATCTTTTTCTCGTAAAGCGGATTTTGATGCGACCTTCGCCTCGTCAGAGCGAAAAATTTTGTCAGTTTGGTGTACCCGCTGGCACATTGGCTTAATGTATAAAAGGGCAACTGCCTACTCATTCGAACGAATTATTTCGCGTGTCTCAAATAATGTCGTGGGCTTTTGAGGTCTGCAAGCGAAAATTGAAACGGAGCATAAGTTTGCTGTTATTCGTGGCGGTGTGCAGCTGCAGATTGTCGTTAACGAGCTAGTCGTAGGAGATATCGCCCAAATTAAATACGGTATGTCATTTTATTGCTTTGCAGGAACTTTTTTTCTGATCCATTTTTATCGCTTTTTTGTCGCTTTTCAAGAGATCAGGTTGCTGTGCTTCGTTGTCAGCAGCTACGATCAGTCACTCACTTACGACGGCTTTTCTGCCGCGTGAGGAAGCCGTCCAAATGAGACTAAAAAATTCACCCTCAGCGATACTCTGGAAATTTTTGCGTGGCGTTTTTATAGACTGCTCAGGTTTACGAGTTTTTTCAGGTGATTTGCTTCCCGCGGATGGCATACTTGTGCAAAGCAATGATCTTAAAATTGACGAGTCTTCATTGACGGGTGAATCGGATCAAATCCGTAAAAGTCCTGAATTTGACCCAATGCTTCTTTCTGGTTCGTTACCGCTAACAAATTGAGCAGTGCTTTCTTGTCTTCGTGAATGTGTATATAACAACAGTGTGCTACAGGTACACATGTGATGGAGGGAAGTGGCAAAATGGTTGTTACGGCGGTGGGTGTTAATTCTCAGACAGGAATTATCATGACGCTTCTTGGTGCCGCAAAAGACGTTGTTGAAGAGGAGCGGAAAGCCGCAAAACGCGAAGGTAATTCAGATTTTCCACTCATTTTGTGCGATAAATTTTGGGAAATGCACTGTGGCAAGCAACATGACATTTTGTCGTATTGCGTGAGTCCGCTTTGAAATTTACACAGAGAATTTTGCTTGACAGTGGCATATTGTATGTGAAGTTTTTGATTTCTCGAAAGTGCATCGAGCACTGCTCTTCCTTAATTATGCTGGTGTGGGAAGGTCAGAGGCAGTATATGCTTCTTTGCACTGCATGTATATCCTCACTGTTACTATTTTTGCATGGTTTTTTCAGAGCGTCGGGCACGTCGGAAAAGTAAAGCATCTGGTAAGCTTCATTTTCGATAACTTGCTTTTGTTGTGTTATTTGTCCACAGTCATCACTAAAAAGAAACAGCGAGAAAACACATTGATGCTGCATGTAGGATGGGTTGATGCACCATTTTGATGGATTTCGCTTCAGAACAAGGCTACATGGCGTGCTGATTGAGTACAACCCCAAAACCATTAGCATAATTACAACATTTTTCATTGTATAAAGCGCAGTCTCGTTCAGCTTACTGGCTTCTCTATTGCATGGGCCTAAAGTCAGTGACGGTTCAAAAACCCGCTCCTTTACACTAACACAGTCTTCTGATAAAGAGAGCCATTACTGGTCGCTTCAGATGTTTTGTTCATATTCACTGGGGTAGGTGTTCACAGATAAACGGCAGCTCTACCAGGCCACGCACTAAAATACCGGCAAGATCATACATGTACTGTTGTGGCATTTTGTTGCGCAGATGCACCAACATATTTCCACCCACTTTTCCTGCTTCGTGCTGGCCATTTTTTTGTCGGTCCTTCTGGTAGTTTTAGCGTAAGTTAGTCTGAAAATGTAACTGAAGCGTCTTTAGATCCCGAGAATCTTGCGTATTCCGTTAATGGATCGCGAAATTCGCCTACCTTCAAGGTTTAAAACATAGCCGGTAGAGAGAAAGGAAGGCCTGATTCACTGTCTCCATCATAAATTAAAATTTAATCACAGGATTCCCGGCAAAAATTGCGAAGAACAGGGTATGGTTTCCATCTGATAGGTTTATCATTATTTTTTTAACTCGCAAAAGATGGTAATTTAGGAATGAGATATTTTCTCAGTGCTTCCGTGTTTTCGGGGTGCATTGTCTAGGCCCACATTGTGCATACATACACACAGTGCAATACATAAAACACCGGCATTGATGGGCATGGCGCAGTGGGAAGTGAAGTCATTGTTGTCGTGCAAGAGGTCGAGCGTTCGGCTTGGCTACTGGAACAACCAGACCCTTTGTTCATTCGTTTGATAGTAAATATTAACAGTTGCACAAGCCAGACAGTTAAAATCCCCCTAGACTTGCTCCTAAGCAACTCTCGAAAGAGGTTTCGAGAGTTGCTATCGTCTCGACTACCCGAGTGCTTTTGCGAGTCGTAGTGACAGAACATAAAGTGATTTTGACAAGGGATATGAAGGGCCTATTATGTCGTGACTTGTGCATTGCAAAGGCAACTGGAAGTTTGTGTGGGATCCAGTTTTTTCTTCTTTTAACGCTTACTGTCTTTAGTTGTCCTTGATTGTTCATGAAGTGCTAATTTTGCTGAGAAAGGGATGAATTTTGTGAGTGAGTTTGAACGCGGAAATGAGAAATTCCTGGACTGTTTTTCCGGAATTTTCGCATGGCACGCACACGTATGCACGCTTTTTTCTTCCGTAATGCCATTTGTATTGTTATTTTTAAATTAGCTTAGTTTGAATGAACTGTATGTCTCTGCACCGGGTCCTCTGCCGCATTATGTTTCATTTGGGGTAAATTTGAGGTATTGTGGCAAGGACAAGAGGAACGCGCCATGTACTGTCGCAAGTGCACGCTTTCTCCACGGTAATTGATGTTCACTTTTTTCCTGTAGTAGTGTTTGAATTTCAGGAGACGCAGTAGCAGCTGCAGGAGTTGAAGATGGAACTGCCCAGGCTCTTCTAACAGATCGTAAGTTTATGGTATCTTTCGTGCCTTTCAGCACTCAATAAATGCATTAGTGGACGATCTGTCGATACGAACATACTGGTTTTTGGATTAATTCACTGGCATCTTCCGTGTACGCCATGAGAATACCCGCCAATACCCTACCGATCCTCTTCTGACTTTCAGCCCTTCGTACTTCTGTAAAATTCCAAGCAGTGTAGCACCGAAAGGGATTAAACTGAGAGGAACAGCGCAGTGCAGCTGCCAGCATTAAATTGAAAGTATAAAATTATGCCAGTGTAAAATGGGACTGTTGGGGTTGACTGTGGTGATGACGTGCAGAGAAAGAAGACAAGGAAGAAGGAGGGAGGGAGGAGGAGCTCGACGGGCAGTATGAAATGGAGCACTAACTGGGACTGGTTAGCTTTACGCCGAATTGGCAGGAAGTTTTGAAAAATTCTTTTAGATCTCATGGCAAAGAAGCTGTATGTGTTACCGTGGGTGGTTATTTGCAGTCGCACTGTTTCGTCTAGGGGAAAATTCCGTGGCAGAAGTAACGTTCCTTGTTTCATACCACTGGCTGTGCTAATTGTGCTTTCTCACGAAACATAGTTTTGTCGTTCTGTTGGGGATCGCTAGTGCAGTTGGCCGGGAGTGGGCAAATTCAGTTTCACACTTTTGGCAGTATTCCATTCTTTTTATACATTCCCCGTAAATAAGAGTCCTTTAACAGAATAGAGTATTAGGCTCCGCTGGGGCGCTCATTCCGTGGTGGCGGGCGAATGAAACACATGCATGGATTTATGTTGTGCTGTCACTGTTTATTGCGCATTTCGAGTTCCCACTCTGCTTTTCATGAGTTTCTTGCATGTTCCTTCCACACAA